TTTTCAATCATAGTCATTAAATATGTGTGATATATATAATATAAGCCTTAACATTGTTAATTCATTATATGGTTGGTTATTATTGAATATCTTTTTTTTTTTTTTTTTTGAACAGCAAAAGACTATTTGTTATTGAAATGAGTACAAGGGGTGCTCAACCCATTTTACACAACTAAGAAGACAATCAAGAGGTCATTACTTTACAACTGACCCTTCCATTGATGACTTTCCTTCTTCCACATCTATCTTTCATGCGTTCAACAGGATTAAGTAGCCAATCAGATAAAGTGAAGGCATATTTGAAAAAGACCGTCATGAGAGGGAGAGCATCAGTGAGAGAGCGAGTGCCGGAGAGGGCGATCGGCAGCAGAGAACGAGGACAGTGGACATCACAGCGATATGAGGGGTTTCAACGTGAGAGCAGGAACCAGCCAAGAGAGTTCTATGGGGGTTTTGAGAAAAGGATCTACAACAAAGCAATCCCTTTCTTTTTCACAAATTTCCCAGATGAATGGTCTTTTGAACAGATGTGGAGAACTTTCAACAGATTGGGAGAGGGCAGGGTGATAGAAATTGAATGCCCCAAAAAGAGAGACTGCTTAGGGAGAAGATTTGGTTTCGTCAGGTTTTTGGAGGTGAAAGACGCTAGACAACTGGAGAGGAAGCTAAACCAAATTCAGATCGGGGGGTTCAATCTTCAAGCTAACAAACCCCGTTTTGAGAAGTCTGGATACCAGAACCACCAACAAAGAAATATGGGAAAGAGGAGGCCGAATGTGGCCACGTCTAATGCAGGGACTAAAAGGAATCTGACTTATGCAGAGGTAGTCAAAGGAAACAATGCAGATTATCAAAGTATGGGACTCAATGAGGGACAATACCACGGTGCAAACATCAGAGAGCAAAGCAAAAGGCTCAAAGCGAATGGTCAAACGAAGTGGAGATGGACACCAAAACAGCAACCTCAAGCTTGGTCAGGAATGGAGTTTAATGTGAAGCAAAATGAGTATGGGTGGCTGGAGAAATGCTTCGTAGGAACAGTTCATTCGGTAACTTTGATTCCAACTTTGTAAGAAAAATTCTTCATGGAAGGAGTTTTCTTCTGCAAAATCAGAGCAATGGGTGGTAGGTTGGTCTTGATGGAAGGACATGATTATGAAGATTTGAAAGACCTTATTGAAACTGGCCAAGAGTGGCTAGGACAATGGTTTGAGGAAATCAAACCATGGAATCCGACGATAGTCGCAGCGGAAAGGTTTGCATGGATTAGGTGCCTGGGCCTACCTTTACATGCATGGAAACCGGAATTTTTCCAATCTTTTGGAAGTCTTTGGGGCACCTTTGTTTCGCTGGATGACAGTACCAGTGGGAAAATACGTCTTGATGCCGCAAGATTTCTTATAGCAACACCGTTGTCGGAATTCATCTCAAAGTCCTTAACCATAAAGATAAATGGGGTCCTGTACAAGGTAAAATTTTCAGAGGAGGAGTCCAGCAATGGTCTATACATAATGAATTCA